ACCAATCATTCTGGTTCATACAAAGACTGTTACTATCATCCTGGTTCATACAAAGACTGTTACTGTCACTCAGGATCATACAAAGACTGTTACCATCATTAAGTTTCATAACAAAGACGTTTACTATCCTCCTGGTTACATACAAAGACCTGTTTACTGTCACTCATATCATACAAAGACTGATACCATCATTTGCATCATACTAAAACAGTTACTAATCAATCCTGTTTCATACAACGATTGCTACCATCATCCTGGTTCATACAAAGACTGCTGCCATCATCCTGGTTCATACAGACTGCTACCATCATCCTCGTTCAATCTGACTGCTACCATCATCCTGGTTCATACAGACTGCTACCATCATCCTGGTTTATACAAAGACTGCTACCATCGTCTTGGTTCATACTGACTGCTACCATCATCCTGGTTCATACTGACTGCTACCATCATCCTTGTTCATACTGTCTGCTACCATCATCCTGGTTCATACTGACTGCTACCATTATCCTGGTTCATACAAAGACTGTTACCATCATTCTGGTTCATACAAAGACTGTTACTATCATCACTGGGTTCATGCCAAAGAACTTCTGTTTGCCACATCCTGGTTCATACAAAGACTGTTACTATCATCCTGGTTCATACAAAGACTGTTACCATCATTCTGGTTCATACGAAGACTGTTACCATCATTCTGGTTAATTCAAAGACTGTTACTATCATCCAGGTTCATACTAAGACTGTTACCATGATCCTGGTTCATTCAAAGACTGTTACAATAATCCTGGTTCATTTCAACAGTTTTTATCATCCTGTTCATACAAAGACTCTGCTACCCTTATTTCTGGTTCATACAAAACTGCTACCAGCATCCTTATTTATAAAAACTGTTACCACCATCATTCTGATTCATACAAAGACTGTTACAGTCACTCAGGATCATACAAAGACTGTTACCATCATTATGGTTCATACAAAGACTGTTACCATCATTTTGCTTCATACAAAGACTGTTACTATCATCCTGGTTCATACAAAGATTGCTACCATCATCCTGGTTCATACAAAGACTGCTGCCATCATCCTGGTTCATACAGACTGCTACCATCATCCTCGTTCATATCTGACTGCTAACCATCATCCTGTTTCATACAGACTTGCTGACCATCATCCTGGTTTATACAAAGACTGCTACCATCGTCTTGGTTCATACTGACTGCTACCATCATCCTGGTTCATACTGACTGCTACCATCATCCTGGTTCATACTGACTGCTACCATCATCCTGGTTCATACTGACTGCTACCATCATCCTGGTTCATACTGACTGCTACCATCATCCTGGTCAAACAACTGCTACCAATCAACCTGGTTCATACTGACTGCTTACCCATCATCCTAGTCATACTGTCTGCTACCATCATCCTGGTTCATACTGACTGCTACCATCATCTGGTTCATACCTGACGTACCTTCATCCTGTCTCCGCCTGCTACCACATCCAGGGTTCATACGCTGCTAAACCCATCATCCTGGTTCATACAGACTGCTACCATCACTCTGGTTCTTACTGACTGCCTACCATCATCCGTTCAATACTGACTGCTACCATCATCCTGGTTCATACTGACTGCTACCATCATCCTGGTTCATACTGACTGCTACCATCATCCTGGTTCATACTGACTGCTACCATCATCCTGGTTCATACTGACTGCTACCATCATCCTGGTTCATACTGACTGCTACCAGCATCTGGTTCATAACTGCTGCTACCATCCATCCTGGTTCAATACGGACTGCAACATCATCCAGGTTCATACTGACTGTTACCTTCATCCTGGTTTCATACTGACATGCTACCATCATCCTGGGTACATACTGGACTGTTACCTTCATCCTGGTTGATACCGCCTGCTACCATCACCTGGTTCATACTGACTGCTACCATCCTCCTGGTTCACTACGTGACTGCTACCATCATTCCTGTTCATAACTGACTGCTACCATCATCCTGGTTCTTACTGACTGCTAACCATCATCCTGGTTCATACTGACTGCTACCATCATCCCTGGTTCATACAGACTGCTAAACCCATCATCCTGGTCATTACTGACTGCTACCATCACCTGGTTTCAACGACTGCTACCATCATCCTGGTTCATACTGACTGCATACCATCATCCTGGTTCATACTGGGGGGTCCCCCCCCTTGGCTACCATCATCCCTGGTTCGATACTGACTGCTACTTACCATCATCCTGGTTCATACGGACTGTAACCTTCATCCTGGTTGATACCGCCTGCTACCATAATCCTGGTTCATACTGTACTGCTACCAGCATCCTGGTTCATGCTGACTGCTTACCATCATTCCTGGTTGTCATACTGTACTACTATCATCATCCTGGTTCATACTGAACTGCAACCGTCATCCTGGTTCATACTGCTGCACATCATCCTGGTTCATACTGACTGCTACATCAATCCTGGTTCATACTGACTGCTACATCATCTGGTTCATACTGACTGCTACCATCATCCTGGTTCATACTGACTTGCTACCGATCATCCTGTCATACAGTCTGCTAACCAACATCCTTTTTCATACTGGCTGCTACCATCATCCTGTTTTTCATACTGACTGTTACCTTTCATCCTGGTTGATATCCGCCTGCTACCAATCATCCTGTTTCATACTGCTGCTACCCATCTTCCTGGTTCATGCTGACTGCTACCATCATCCTGGTTCATACTGACTACTACCATCATCTCTGGTTCATACTGACTGCTACCATCATCCAGGTCATACTGACTGCTACCATCATCTGGTTCCATACTGACTGCTAACATCATCCTGGTTCATACTGACTGCTAACATCGTCCTGGTTCATACTGACGCTACCATCATCCTGGTTCATACAGACTGCCACCATCATCCTGGTTCAACTGACTGACTACCATCGTCCTGTTTCTTTCAGGTAACATGTGTTTTAGTGGTAGAGTATTCTCTCACCACTACAAAAATGATATACCTGCAATATGCAATATATAATATGCATGAGCAAATATCATGTTGCTGAGGTTGTATGTTCTATGATGTTCATATTGTTTCAATTTGTTATTATATAAAAAATTACACACTATCACAGTTATTAAACAGAAATACATCATTACTGGATACCAAGAGTATACCTGGAGAGGGTTTCGGGGTCATCGCCCCCCGGCTCTGTCTGAGAACCAGATCTGTGGTAGAACAGGTCTGATCAACCAGGCTGTTACTGCTGCCACATCAAACTGACGTGTCGAGCCACAAGCCAGCTTTTGCCTTGGCCATGGCCTTCTTGAAGCTACAAGGTTCGATTCTAATCCCCCTTATGTAAGCGGGGGAGGCAGTTGAACAGATTGAGTCCCGGACACTTATTGTGTTGTCTCTCAGTGTAAACTCGTGCGGCCCCTGCTTTACACATTGAGGGAATGTTCATCTCAAGCCGATTCCCCATTTGCTTTCATAGAGTGATTTTCGAAACAATTTTTGGAATTAATCCCACTCGGATTTACCAATTAAAAAAAAAAAATATATTATCACGTAGCTCTTCTCTCCTGCATTCCCAGAGAATACATTTCAAACCGCTCCCAGTAATTTTGGTTGCATTATCGTACTTATGTGTTAACGTGAAAGGTCATTGTTTCACTCTCACTGTCTGTAATTTCGCCTGCCTGTGGGGCAGTATTGTACCGCAGCATCCAGCAAGAGAGCACAAGCGATATGAAGATGTGGATCATGGGCTTGGCATCCCAAGTTTTGAAGGTTCTCATTAGCCAACCAATCATTTTCCTAACAGATGACGGCAGATACATTGTGGTGGTCTTTGAATGTAGATCCTCTGATATCATCACTCCCAGGTTCCCTTCACATTACCTTTTCCGCTCTATTTATATGAGTTTAAAAATAGGGGCTTCTTGCAGTTCTTGATGAAAACGGGCCTGAGGCAGAGTGCATGGGCATGCCATTTATTGAATTTTCGAAGTCTTGTGGCGTTGGGATAATATCAGAGATTTTTGAGAAAACCAAATTTTTGGGTCTCTGTCTAAAGAATTCATTTGAATTGTCGACCCTTAGTCTGGGTAAGGCTCGCTGAACGGAGTCGTATGGGACTTCAGTATTTCACTGATTTCTATGCTGTCATCTGTGTATGCCCCGTCTCGCCTAAGCAGAGGCTCAATACTGGATGTTTTTTCCCACAAGGCGTAAGATAGAAAGTATTTTGTTTGTTTATCAATTTCCCATTATGGCTTTAAGTTTCCTTCTGAGATTCTTGCCTCCAGTAAATTCCTCAGCTTAAGTTCGATTATTGCTATTTCACTTACCATGCCTCCCTTTCAAGATATATGTATTGGCCACTCCTCAGCAGCTCTGTGAATCCTCGCCTTCGTCTGTATAGGGAGCAATCTCTCTCTTTTTCTAGTTTTACTTCTTCTCTTTCTTTTTCTTAAGGAATGTGTCCTTGAGCAGATCTTAAAGAACGAAGGAGTGATTTCTTTCAATAGTTCTGCTTCCCAATATTTCTTGTTCCTAGTTCGTGGGTATAGTGGAACCCCTTTGCTTTTCAGGCTTATTGAAGTCAGTAACTAGACACTCAACTTCTCTAGCACCCACAAAACAGGGGTACTTGCAGAGGTGCCTGGCAGCGATGAAGCTCAGATGTCGAGCCACAGTTAATCCTCTCTCACTTGTCTTCGTATAACTGATCACTATAGCACTTAGCACACTACCTAAGATATGTCTTTTATGCTACAGATATTTCACACTTCTTTCCTTATGTATGGACATAGCTTTATTACAGGCAACATCAACAGTACCCGAGGATGATAAACACTGGCTGCTATTTCCTCTTGCTTGCTTGTTTTCATCTTTTTTTTATTTTAGATGTCATACTTATTATGACATCTAAAATAAAATTGTATGATTTGTTTATGGATGACTTGCTACACTAGCCTGACTTAGCTCTTAACTCTGCTTGGAGACACACCTTGTTCTGTTGGTATTTGTAATTATGTGAATTATTACATCTCCAGCCTGGCACCATGCCAGCTGCTACTTTCCTAAGATCTGATTGCCGAAAAATCCGTGGTCACCTGGCCACGGTGGCCCGTGGCCTGGTGGCTAAAGCTCTCGCTTCACATGGCGAGGGGTCTGGGTTCGATTTCCGGCAAGGGTAGAAACATTTGGTGTGTTTCTTTACACTGGTTGTCTATGTTCCTTATCAGTAAAAAAGGGTACCTAGGAGTTAGTCAACTGGTGTGGGTCGCATCCTGGGTGTTAGTCGACTGGTGTGGGTCCCATCCTGGGACAAAACTGACCTAATTTGTCCGAAATGCTCTGCATAATAAGGGGCTTTCTATATTTTAGTATGTCATTGATGTCAGCTATGGTCTGTATACCTTGTACATGTACTTGTAGTAAATAAAGATATTATTATTATTATTATTATTATTATTATTATTATTATTATTATTAATTATAGAGTGACGTAGGACGGACATGCCAGTGTAACAATGACTGATGAAAGGACACACCAGTATATGATGGGTATTGTGTTTACAATACTGGGTAATGAACTATGCTGCTGCTGCTGCTGCTGCTGTGTTCTATGACAATTACGTAATACGAAGAAGAGCTATCAATGTTTCCTCATTATTCTCCATCACACAGGATGGTGTTCCTACACCAGGTGATAAAATAGGTTGATCCAGGAGACATAAGTAGGGTGATCAAGGACATCATTAAGTACATTATTAGACATTTAGCAGTTATGGAAGCTAGCAAGACTTCATGTCAGAAGACCTGGAATGAAGCCCTGGAAGACCTGAGGTTACTGTTGCTTATCAAATGTTATCTCTTAGGAGAGTATCATCTCTCACTCTTTCTCAACCTCTTTCCATCTCTATTTTTCTTCCTCCCACTCTTCTTACCAGGACTCAGGTTGAAGCTCCTTACTTCCAGGACTCAGGATGAGGCTCCTTCCTTGCAGGACTCAGGTTGAAGCTCCTTCTTACGACCAGGAATCAGTTGAAGCTCCTTCCTTCCAGGACTCAGGATGAGGCTCCTTCCTTCCAGGACTCAGAATGAAGCTCCTCACTTCCAGGACTCAGGATGAAGCTCCTTCCTTCCAGGACTCAGGATGAAGCTCTTTCCTTCCAGGACTCAGGTTGAAGCTGCTTCCTTCCAGGACTCAGGTTGAAGCTCCTTACTTCCGGACTCTGGTTGAAGCCCTACTTCCAGACTTCCCAGGTTGAAGCTGCTTACTTCCAGGACTCAGGTTGAAGCTCCATACTTCCAGGACTCAGGTTGAAGCTCCATACTTCCAGGACTCAGGTTGAAGCCTCATACTTTTCCAGACCTCAGGATGACGCTCCATACTTCCAGGACTCAGGTTGAAGCTCCATACTTCCAGGACTCAGGTTGAAGCTCCATACTTCCAGGACTCAGGTTGAAGCTCCATACTTCCAGGACTCAGGTTGAAGCTCCATACTTCCAGGACTCAGGTTGAAGCTCCATACTTCCAGGACTCAGGTTGAAGCTCCATACTTCCACTAGTACACCTTCACATTACAATCAAACTTTAAAAGGATTGGAAAAAATAACTTTACTAAATGCAAATTTATTCAGATTAATACATGAAATATGAAAGACATGAAGTGCTGGAGGTGAAGTGAGAAGTGAAGTGAGAGGTGCGTTATAGCTGCTATGTTAGTGTTACACAGATCAAGTGAAGCGATAAGCGAAGTGGTAGAGTTACACAGATGAAGGCAACATTCCTGACTGACACAGGATGTGTTACAGCGGCTGTGGCAGAGTGACACAGATGAAGGCAACATTCCTGACTGACACAGGATGTGTTCCAGCGGCTGTTGGCAGAGTTACACAGATGAAGGCAACATTCCTGACTGACACAGGATGTGTTACAGCGGCTGTGGCAGAGTGACACAGATGAAGTAACATTCCTGACTGACACAGGATGTGTTACAGCGGCTGTGGCAGAGTGACACAGATGAAGGTAACATTCCTGACTGACACAGGATGTGTTACAGCGGCTGTTGGCAGATTACACAGAGAAGAAGGTAACATTCCTGACTGACACATGATGTGTTACAGCGGCTGTGGCAGAGTTACACAGGGAAGGTAACATTCTGGGACTGACACAGATGTTACCAGCGGCGTGGCAGAGTTACACAATGAAGGCAACATTCCTGACTGACACAGGATGTGTTACAGCGGCTGTGGCAGAGTGACACAGATGAAGGTAACATTCCTGACTGACACAGGATGTGTTACAGCGGCTGTGGCAGAGTGACACAGATGAAGGTAACATTCCCGACTGACACTGATGAGTTTTACAAGCGGCTGTGGCAGAGTGACACAGATGAAGGCAACATTCCTGACTGACACAGGATGTGTTACAGCGGCTGTGGCAGAGTGACACAGATGAAGGCAACATTCCTGACTGACACAGGATTGTACAGCGCTTGTGGCAGAGTTTACACATATGAAGTAACTACCTGACTGACACAGGATGTTTTACAAGCGGCTGTGGCAGAGTTAACACAGATGAAGGTAACATTCCTGACTGACACAGGATGTGTTACAGCGGCTGTGGCAGAGTGACACAGATGAAGGTAACATTCCTGACTGACACAGGATGTGTTACAGCGGCTGTGGCAGAGTGACACAGATGAAGGTAACATTCCTGACTGACACAGGATGTGTTACAGCGGCTGTGGCAGAGTGACACAGATGAAGGTAACATTCCTGACTGACACAGGATGTGTTACAGCGGCTGTGGCAGAGTGACACAGATGAAGGCAACATTCCTGACTGACACAGGATGTGTTACAGGCGGCTGTGGCAGTGACCACAGATAAGGTAACAAAAATCCTGACTGACACAGGATGTGTTACAGCGCTGTGTCAGAGTGAATCAGGAATGCCCTATGTTTTCTCATCTCTAAAATTTGATGCAATCATTACTCATTACTCAATTTAATTTTCATTTATTTTCATTATTACTTCATTTATCTTGAACGAAATGGAGTGACGAACATGAACATGAACAGGTAGTGGGCATCATGGTCGTCAACAGGTAGAGGGCATCACGGTCGTCAACAGGAAAGTGGGGGCATCAATGTTTCCCGACAACAGGAGTGGGCATACACGGTCGTCCAACAGGTAGTGGGCATCACGGTCGTCAACAGGTAGAGGGCATCACGGTCGTCAACAGGTAGTGGGCATCACGGTCGTCAACAGGTAGTGGGCATCACGGTCGTCAACAGGTAGTGGGGCATCAAGGGTCCTCCAAACGCAGTAGAGGGCATCACAGGTCATCACAGGTAGAGGGCATCACGGTCGTCACAGGTAGTGGCAGCAACGGTTCAACAGGTAGTGGGCAATCACGGTCTCAACAGGGTAGTTGGGCGATCACACGTTCCCGTCAACAGGTAGAGGGCATCTCGGTCGTCAACAGTAGTGGGCATCACGGTCACCAGGTAGTGGGCATCAACGGTCGTCAACAGGTAGTGGCATCACGGTCGTCAACAGTAAGTGGGCTCACGGTCCGTCAACAGGTAGAGGGCATCACGTCGTCACAAGTAGTGGCATCACGGTCGTCAACAGTCAGGGGCATCACGTCTCAACATAGGTAGTGGGCATCACGGTCGGCCCACAGGTAAGGGCATCACGGTCGTCACAGGTAGTGGGCCATCACTTACACACGTCAACAGGTATTGGGCCATCACGGTCGTCAACAGGTAGTGGACCTCACGGTCGTCAAACGAGTAGTGGGGCATCACGGTCCGTCAACTGTAGTGGGCATCACGGTCGTCAACAGGTAGTGGGCATCACGGTCGTCAACAGGTAGTTGGGGCATCACGGTCGTCCAACAGTAGGGGCATCAGTCGTCAACTGGTAGTGGTGCATCACGGGTCGTCAACAGGTAGAGGGCATCACGGTCGTCAACAGGTAGTGGGCATCACGGTCGTCAACAGGTAGTGGGCATCACGGTCGTCAACAGGTAGTGGGCATCACGGTCGTCACAGGTAGTGGGCATCACGGTCGTCAACAGGTAGTGGGCATCACGGTCGTCAACAGGTAGAGGGCATCACGGTCGTCAACAGGTAGTGGGCATCACGGTCGTCAACAGGTAGTGGGCACACGGTCGTCAACAGGTAGTGGCAACACGGGTCGTCAACAAGTGTGGGCATCAACGGTCGTCACAGGTAGTGGGCAATCACGGTCGTCAACCAGGTAGTGGGCATCACTGTCGTCAACAGGGTATGGCACACGGACCTCAACAGGAAGTGGGCATCACTGTCGTCAACAGGTATGTGGGCATCACGGTCGTCATAGGTAGTGGGCATCACAGTCGTCAACAGTAGTGGGCACACGTCGCACAGGTAGTGGGCTCACGGACGTCAACAGGTCGTGGGCATCACGGTCGTCACAGGAAGTGGGGGCATCACGGCGTCAACTGGTAGTTGGGCATCTCGGGTCGTCAACATGTAGTGGGCATCACGGTCCCGTCAACAGGTAGTGGGCATCACGGTCCTCAACAGGAGTGGGCATCACCGTCCGTCAACAGGTATGGCTCCGGTCGTCAACAGGGATGTGGCATCACAGTTCGTCAACAGGTAGAGGGCATCACGGTCGTCAACAGTAGTGGGCATCACGGTCGCAACAGGTAGTGGGCATCACGGTCCTCAACAGAAAGTCGGGCAACAATCATCGTAACAAGGTTAGTGGCATCACGGTCGTCAACAGGTATGGCACCACAGTCCGTCAACAGGTAGTGGGCATCACGGTCGTCACAGGTAGTGGGCATCACGGAGGTAGGGGCGGGTCGTCAACAGTAGTGGGCCATCACGGTCGTCAACAGGTAGTGGCAATCACAGTCGTCAAAGGTAGTGGGCATCCACGGTCGTCTACAGTAGTTGGCATCACGGTCGTCACAGGTAGTGGGCATCACGTCGTCACAGGTAGTGGCATCCACGTCGTCAACAGTAGTGGCATCACGGTTCCTCAACAGGAAGTGGGCATCACAGTCGACCAACAGGTAGTGGCATCACGGTCGTCAACAGGTAGTGGGCATCACATTCGTCAACAGGTAGTGGCATCACACGGTCGTCCAACAGGTAGTGGCATCACGGTCGTCAAACAGGTAGGGGCATCACGGTCGTCAACCGGTAGTGGGCATCCACGGTCGTCAACTGGTATGTGGGCATCACGTCGTCTAACAGGTAGTGGGGCTATCACGTCGTTCAACAGGTAGTGGCATCACGGTCGCAACAGGTAGTGGGCATCACGGTCGTCAACATGTAGTGGGCATCACGTCGTCCAACTGGTAGTGGGCATCACGGTCGTCAACGAGTAGTGGGCATCACGGTCGTCAAAGGTAGTGGGCATCACGGTCCGTCACAGGTAGTGGGCACACGGTCCTCAACAGGAAGTGGCATCACGGTCGTCAACAGGTAGTGGGCATCACGGTCGTCACAGTAGTGGGCATCATCGGTCTCAACAGGTAGTGGGCATCACCGGTCGTCAACAGTAGTGGGCATCACGGTCCTCAACAATGAAGTGGGCATCACGTCGTCAACGGTAGTTGGGCATCACGGTCGTCAACAGGTAGTGGGCAATCAACGGTCGTCAACAGGTAGTGGGCATCACGGTCGTCAACAGGTAGAGGGCATCACGGTCGTCAACAGGTAGTGGGCATCACAGTCGTCAACAGGTAGTGGGCATCACGGTCGTCACAGTAGTGGCATCACAGTCGTTCAACAGGAGCGGGCATCACGGTCGTCAACAGGTAGTGGGCATCACGGTCGTCAACAGGTAGTGGGCATCACGGTCAACACATACCTCCTGTAAAGACGTTATCAGAAATTCCTTTGAGTAACTATTAAGGTAAACTTTATAAATCATAGACGTTGTTAGTCTAGGGAGTTTTTAGTGGAGATTTATTCCTCTAGTAATAATCGTAAAATCGTTGTATGGAAAACACTTGTAAAATGTTATCGTTAAATATAAATTAATATTGTTATAGACTTGTGGTATTTTGTTGTACCTTTTTCTTAATATATATATAACCACACTTTATATACCACTTACAAATTAAGCAACCTTTCTTCTTGCTGCATGAACTTAATATTGTCATTTGAACAAAATGGTACATCAACCTCTATTTTCAAAGTTCATTAAAGATGTTGACTTAGAAAACGTTGAAGTTTCTACACACGAGAACTTCTGAACAATGAAAATATCCACAATTTCTGGTGCACTAAGTGAATAAAGATTCTAAGACCAAATGCTTCAACCGTTTAGGTTAAACAGTAGTGAGCCGTGGAGACCTCACTTATACCGAGAGTGACGCACCACTGTCTGCTCTACTACACTCACCTCTGACGTAAGTGGGGTGCGATCAGGCGAGTATAACACTCACCTCTGACGTAAGCTGGCGTAGGCGAGTAGAAACACGTCACCTCTGACGTAAGCTGGCGTCCAGCGATTAGAACAACTCCACCTCTGACGTATGCTGGCGTCAGGCGATTATAAAAATCACCTCTGAAGTAGCTGGCGTCCGGCGAGTAGTAACACTCACCCCTGACATAAGCTGCGTCAAGCGAGTAGTAACACTCACACTTCTGACGTAAGTTGGCGTCAGGGAGTAGTAACACACACCTCTGACGTAGCTTAGCGTCAGGCGGTAGTAAACACTCACCTCTGACTTAATCTGGCGTCATGCGAGTAGTAACACTCATACCACTGACTTAAGCTGCGTCAGGCTAGTAGTAACACCACGCCACTGAGTAATCACGCGTCATGCGAGAAGTAACACTTACCACCTCTGACGTAAGCTGGAGTCAGGCGAGTAGTAACACTCACCTCTACGTAAGATGGCGTGAGGCGAGTAGTAACACTCACCATCTGACGTAAACTCGCGTCAGTCAATATTAAACACTCACCTCTGACGTAAGCTGGCTCAGGCGAGAGTAACACTCACCTCTGACGTAAGCTGGCGTCAGGCGAGTAGTAACCACTCACCTCTGAAGTAAGCTCACGTCAGGCGAGTTATAACCATAGGTGAGGTCATAACGGCATGTTATCATTGTTAAATGATACAACAGCCAAAAATACATATATACATAAATGAAAAATTAAAAAGTGAAAATGAATAATTAATATATAAAGGTGATTTCGTCGCTTTAGTTAATATACGACGATAATCACAATGTACTAATAGAAGGTTGAGCCAAAATTTGTGAGATATTTAGAGAAACCGAGATTCAGCCGTAACAGTAACACATGTGGCATTTTTTCTGTATTCTGTTAATACTATTATTTATTTCACAAGACACACACACACTCACATCGACCACACACAACACACACCCACACACACACACCACACACACACACGAGCGTGGGTCCGTGGGGTGAAGAACGTGGAACAGGCTCCGAGAACCTAGGCGTTGAAAGACGCGTAATAATCAGCTAGAAGTAATCATGGTAGGGAACGTCAGTGAACAATCTACGAGATGATAATTAAAAGTTATAGTTTAACGAAAGTGAGAGGAAAGCTGAAATCATAATATTTCCAAGCGCAACCGTTTGGGGGTCATAGGCCTGTTTGCCACAGCAGCGGTAGGGCCTGATGAAGTGACGTCACGACAAGTTGGTGTGCCATTATACATATGAAGGAAGTGTATATAATGTGAAGTGTAACACCATCAGTGAAGAGTGAAGTGAAAGCGAATATATGGTTATAATCATCGACGGTGAAGGATCTCCAAAATCGGGATTTAAGGCCTACGAAACGACAACGTCCATCAGCAACTGGCAATCTGTCAACCGCAAGTTTATTCGCCTATTTATGTGGTTTGCATGTTGACGCCCTGGCTGGCCTTGTATATCTGTTGATACTGGTCACTCACTCTGCAAGCTATTACCAGAATTAAATAGAAATAAGCATAGACAATAGAGAATAATGTGTTGACGAGTGTGAGAAGGTGGTGGGGACAAGCTTTTTAAGGGGCATCATGGTAAGACGGTGCTAGGTAGTTCCCAGGAAGAGTTTAAGTCAGGTCACAAGAAGTTGCGCCAGTCCATTACACCGCACAAGACCTCTCACACACACACACAGAACACACCCACACACAGACACTCCACACTCACACACACACACACGCACACACGCACACAGGCAGTGTTTACTACCGGTAGTTATTAGCAGTAAGAATACTTTGGAAGCTAGGAAGTCCTCTCTCAATGTGAACAAGGGAAAAAGATAATAACCAGCAACAATTAACACGTAAATCCAGAAAGGGGAATAAGTGGAGAGAGTAGCATAATTGGGAAAAATAAAAAGAGACTAAATTTGTGCCTACACGACAGATCTCTCAAAACCCCCCCACCCTAACCCTCCCTCCCTCCCTACACAAGCACACACACACAAGGGTAAGACTCACACACACACACATACACACACATACACACATACACACACACACATACATACACACATACGTAAACACACAAACACACACACACACACATACACATACACATACACAAACACACACACACACACACACACACACACACACACACACACACACACACACACACACATTCACACACACACACATTCACACACACACACAACACACACACACACACACACACACACACACACCACACACACACACACACACACAACACCCTCCGCCACTTGACACCTTAGCCCCTTTGCCACCTACCCCTCCCCCAAAACCACCTAACCCCTCCCCAAACCGTCTAAACCCCCCGCCCAACAACCTCCCTCCCTCCAATAACCATCCTCCCCCTCCCCATAACCATCCATCCCCTCTCCCCCCAAACCATCTAACTCCCCCCCCAAACCATCTAACTCCCTCCCCCAACTATCTCTGCCCTCCAATAACCATCCTCCCCCTCCCCCACAAACCATCCATCCCCTCTCCTAACCGTCTATTCCCCTCCCCCTAACCAGGATGAGGACAAGGGCTCAAACGAATCAGAAGGAAAGGGAAT